ATCCCTCGGTTTTGCGCCCACACCTCGCTCAGCCAGTGAGCGGGAACCGGTCTGTATGTGGGATCCGAACCTTCCGCGGGAGCACCGCTGCGCTCCCAAGCGGCGCACTGTAGCAGTGCGCCACTGGGCCAGCCCTGGAGATATGGAATTTCTAAGTGGCCGCTTTCGCGGGAGCACCGCTGCGCTCCCAAGCGGTGCACTGTAGCAGTGCGCCACTGGGCCAGCCCTGGAGATATGGAATTTCTAAGTGGCCGCTTTTGACTTTAGCCCAGGGCTGTTCATGTGTGTGTGTGTGTGTGTGTGTGTGTGTGTGTGTGTGTGTGTGTGTGTGTGTGTGATCTGAAAATTTATTTTATCCAAACCTTAAATGATGACATTTGGTTTTTGAGAAAGAAGGGATTAGAGGAAATATTATTCAGCAGCTATAGCATTTTTCAAAGAGTGTTCTAGTTGTTATAACCAGATTTTAAAATCTTTCTGATCTGCTTCTGCTTCTTTCACTTAGGTACTGTCCTCCCAGATAAAGAAGATTCCCATCTCTCTTTCCCATCCCACCCCCACTATTTAGCATGGTAGTGCCACTTTATAGGAAGCTTCATTGGCTAAATCCTCCAACTTTAAACCAAAAATGTAGTACATTGAGTAAATATGCACAGCAGTTTTAACTATTTTGGTAGTTGTATTAGAAAAACTATAAGGCAAACCTTTCATGTAACAAGATGGAATTAAAAAAATAATATTTTGGAGTTTTTCTGATTATAATTTTTGGCTATTGTATAATTTTTAGCTGTAAATTTTATCTAATTCATTGATTAAACATGAGGTAAAAGGTGGTATCAGCAGATATCATGCTGTAAAGACACTGCCTAACTTCAAAAAATAATGTTATAATGAAAATATTACTTTCTACTTTCAGTGATTTTCTGGCTGATCAAGCTGCATGTTATGTTCAGGCAATACAGTGGATTTTGCACTATTACTATCATGGAGTTCAGTCCTGGAGCTGGTGAGAGAATAAAAGCAAAAATAATGTTTTGTCTTTTTATAATGGTTCATTATACTAGTATCTCACTGGGAGATCTCTTTTCCTTTTATTTCTATTTACAGTAATGTTTTTTAAAAGATCCATACAACCAAGTTGGTTTTTTTGTTTGTTTGTTTGTTTGTTTTTAATGTGGCTGGCCAGTGTGGGCATCCAACCTCTTGACCTTGGTGTTACAACACTGTGCTCTAACCAACTAAGCCAGCTGGCCAGCCCATACAGCCAAGTTTAGATGAAATACAGGTAATCATTTCTTAAATGAAAATACTTAAAAACAGACTTTTATCTAAGAAAAATGCTTCTAGCCCTGAAACATGGCATTTTGGTAGAGAATTTTAAATCCTTAGGTCAACAAAGACCTTTTATTATGGGGGTTTTTCATTATATTCTCTCTATATTTTTTGTGTCTGAAAAAATAAATTATTGGGAATAATTATTGAAGAATGGGCTGTTTGTATGTTAGAAGAAAAAAGGAATTATTTGCTTTTACTAGAAATAGTAATAATTCTCCATTTCTCTCTTTCCTATTCCAGCAAATTCATCTACATTTCTGAACCATTCACTAAAACAGAAAAATTACAAACCAAAAAGTGATGCAGTGCATAGTAGAGATTTTTTAGGTGATGATATAGCTCTGTTTTGTTGTGTTTCTGAAGCACCTCTCCTAGGCTCTGTTTTAGAGCACCATCCAGCAATACAAACCAGTGCAAAATAATATAACATTAATTATAATTTTACTTATTAGTAGCCTTTGAAAAAAGATTTTTACAGCCGCTATTCTGATTCTCAAGGACCCTCTGAAAAGCAGTCTAATGAAGAAAATTCTTGATTTGGCATTTTTTAAAGAGAGTGAATCTATGTTATTCCTATTGTATTATAAGGCATTCAGGCCAGGCAACTGAAAAGCATGCTGTAATATGATCTTCATAACTATTTAAAGTAAGCATTGTTTTCTCATTTTTGAAAATGAAGAAACTGAGGCTTAGAAAGGTTAAGTAATCTTCCCAAGATCATACACTCAAGTCTAGCCTATGTGATTCCAAAGTCTACCTTTTCCATTATTCTACATGCCATTCTACCTCTTAAATTTTCCCATGTTTTGAAACGTATGCTGTAATTATGGAATATAAAAACATTTCTTCATTTTTTTTTGGTATCCTGTGTCAAACAATAAGATTATATTGAAAATTTTAACAATCGTTTTTGAACCTTTGTAAAAATATTTATGCTTATAGTTAAAGATGGAAAGGTATTAAACAAAAATAAAAGTAATTAGCATGTGTGATTGATATATGGTCTATCCTTACCACAAATACAATAATATGTATATAATTCAAAGATAAAAGTTTTTAGAGCTGACTGATAATGGCCTTATAAGCCCAGACTCACTGTTCTCTTGTCCTCATGAGATTGGAACTTTTATCAGAACATTCAGCTGCTCCCAGCCCCTTGCTTGCTTGTAGAGCCCAGGCCCAGGTGACCAAACTGAAACTCTTAATTCATTACTTCTGTTTTAATCTATTGATTGGAAGATTCACAGTCAACATTTTGGTAACTAAAAGAAGCGTTACACTATGTGTGTCTTTCTATTTCCTGATATATCCCAATTTTTGAAATGTGAGACTGCACTTTAAGAATTAAGGAAATATGATATTTGTTCCCATCACATGACCTAAATTTTCCAAAAATGCTAATTTTTTATATTCAAGTGGTAGAATTATGGGTGGCACTTTATTTTTCTCTAAAATTATTGCTATGTGTTGTTAAAATTAAGTACGGAAAAAGTATATACTTAATGTTGATAAGTTTTATAAAGTTGCCAATTGTTTAAAACTGTTTTGTTTTATAGGTATTATCCCTATCATTATGCACCTTTCCTATCTGATATCCGCAATATCAGTACACTGAAAATCCATTTTGAACTAGGAAAACCTTTTAAGCCATTTGAACAGCTTCTTGCTGTACTTCCAGCAGCTAGCAAAAATTTACTTCCTACGTGCTACCAGGTGGGTTTTAGAATTGAAATGTTTTTATGTCCTTTTTGATATTTAGGAGCTTCTTCTCCAAATCTAGAAACACTAGTACCCAAATTTATTTAGTAGATAAATATATTTTATTTTCTGTTTTAAATATAGTATTTCTTTAACAGATCCCTTGAGAAGTAATTCTTTGATTTAAAGTTTGCTTTTTAAAAAATGCAATCTCTGGGCCGGCCCGGTGGCGCACTGGATAGTGCGCCGCTTGGGAAGCGTGGCGGCGC